AAAAAAAATATTTTAAGTACCGAGACTCCAAATTTTGGTCCTTCGAGTTCTATTTTAAAAAATGAGAGAGTTCAAAGTCCACGAAAAATTCGATTAAAACCCTTAAACCTTAATTTCGATTAAATGTGGGTTTTATATTAAATACGAATAGTGAGATAGATTATTAATGTATTATCTCGCTTAAATGCAGGTGTTTGAAGAGTCAAGCCCTCGACCTACGTCTTGCTTTTGTGTGCGACATTCTACCTCGATTTCCAGGTGGGTCTTATTTAAATTGCTATGTCATATGTGTTTATGTATGTTGGTCGCTTTCTGCCCAGTCTCCGACCCAGGGTCGATGTAATTGAGATCAATATCCTCTTTGTATTTCTGTTTGATAACCGAGTAATTCCTCAAGCGTTCTCAGACCAAAGGGCAGTGCCATAAATAGACCAGAAAGCGGGGCAAGTCCTTGTTCGAATCCAAGCTATCGATCATTTCTGGAATGTAGCTATGGATTGGTATGATTATTGTCTATATGTGAACCTGGTAGCCTATCGGTGTGAGCTGTACCGGCCGTCAGTACGTGGTCCCCGTTGATGTGAGATGTTCTCCCTTCGACGGTGCCTAATGATAGGCAGTCTCCTTAAGTCCTGTACGGAGGACATTCGTATGTAAGACATGTACGGAGGCTTTCGATATGTATGTCGTTGTAAGACCTGTATGGAGGCGATCGACAGATACTCCTATTGAGTTGGGGCCGATGTAAGGCCTGTACGGAGGCGATCGATACGAAGACACTCAGTAGCTTTATAGAGATGTGCACATGCGTAATAATTTTTTATAGGAGATGAGATATGTTATTGATTTGTGACCATGTTGTGACATTACCAGTTTTATATTATGATTGTTGATTATGGCATAGTGGTGAGCACCACGGTTTCCAATTGTGCTCACCTCCACCTGCTCTTCATGGATGCAGGTTAGGAAGTGTGGGCACGTCGGAGAGATGCGAGTGGTGGTCGGTCATTGATGACCAACTTATTATTTGATATTGCTTCCGCTTAGTGAAGTGATTAATGTTATTAATGCTTTTATGAAAATTGAGGATTGGAAATATGGAATATTGATGATTGATGATTGAGGAATTAGTTTATTGGTGAATATTGATGTATGCTTTTGAAAATGAGTAACGCCACGATGTTGAAATAAATTTGAAAAATTTTATTCTGATTTCGGCTAATAAAAAGTGGGGCATTACAGTTTGGTATCAGAGCCAGTCTGCGTTTCTGTAGAGTGCTCTAAGTGTGAATTATTCGATTATGTGATTGACCTTACGTTGAAACCACTCGCTCTCGTCGTGCCACGCCAGCTCAGGTATGAGTACCTAAATGACTTTAAGATGATTGTGCATTACTTGATATTGATGTGGAAAATCGGGGATTAGGAAATCTATTCACCTTTGTTTTAAATTCAGACTCTAGTGTTGAACTCTAGATTTCCCTTAATAAATGTACTAAACATTTCGGTCCATTTTCAATGTAGAAGTATGGATCGACAAACCCGCAACAACTAGCAACATCAATAGCCACCCCCACCTCCACCTCCACCTCCACCTCCACATCTACCCCATCAACAGGCTCCCAACCAAGTAGATGCTCATCTCAACACAGTTCTTCAGTTTTAGCGGCTGACCCCACCAGCTTTCACCGGTGTTGAGGGGCCCACAGCTGTGTCCGAGTGGATTCGCAAGCTCGAGCGAATCTTTGGTCTCCTTCGGTGCTCCGACGATCAGAAAGTAGTATGCGACTGTTACCAGCTTGATGGTGATGTCGCACTGTGGTGGGAGGATTACTGGAGGTTGAGGCTAGGCGAGTTCGCCAACTTGACTTGGGATCGCATGAATGAAGTGGTCCTTGAGAAGTACTATCCACAGAGTTACCGAGCTAGGATGGAGCGTGAATTTTGGGGTCTTCTCAAGGGGACCCGATCTGTCGAGGAGTCTGAGCGGGATTTCACCCACATGAGAGCCTTTGCTCCTCACATTGTGGATACGGAACTGAATAAAGCCACTAAATTTCGTGATGGTCTTCACCCCACTCTCTCCATGCTTCTTACGAGCCAGAGGAACCTTCCATATGGCGAGACTGTTATCCGTACCGTTCAGCAAAAGAGTTGTCAGGCTCTCCATGTCCCCACTTCTTCTACTCAGCTAGTTCACTCCATTTCCTCAGTACTGCCCAGCTCTAGTTCGGGTAAGAGGAAGGATGATTTCTACCGGGATAACCGGAAGGAAAAATGTGAAGGATCAGATAGACATGACACCGCACAGAATCACTATCCGAAGTGTGCTACTTGTGGCAAGCCCCATTACGGAGAGTGTCGTTATGCCCAGAAACTCTGCTACAACTGCCAACGCCCCAGACACTTCGCCAATAGGTG